AAGGAACTCACCTCCCAGCTCATTGTTCCTTCAGTGGGCTGGTTTCAGTCATTATGCAAATGTACTGTTTATAAGATTGGGCAAAACTGCAGTCAGCTGAGACTGAAGAAGTCACTTGGATGAGTGACGAAACGTTTCTCCCACAAAACACTACGTCCAGATGAACAGAATCAACTTGGAGAATGTGTAGTTGTGTAGAAACTGGGTGGGGCCCTCTGTGTGTGAAAGCTGCTCCAGCTCGGTGTTTCTCCTCCTCAGCTCAGAGATCTACTGCTGCAGTTTCTCCTGAAGCTCATTAACATGACTCACTTCAGGCTTCTGGCGAGCTCTGATCTGCTGTTTCACCTCAGTGAAGATCTCCTCACTGTCTCTCACAGCTTTATCACCAAACTGATTGAAGGTCTCCACCTCCTGCTCAAGCACCTTCAGGTGTTTCTCGCAGTGCTGGACTCTCTGCTGGATTATATCTCGACTCTCTTTGAGCACTCTCTGCTTCTCAGTCATTGCTGCATCAGTCAGTACTGTGTCGTGTCCTTTATGTTCATCCATTGTGCAAAGAACGCAGACACATATTCAATCAGTACTGCAGAAGAGTTTCCTCACTTTATTGTGGTGAGGGTAAAAGAACTGCTGAAGCTTCTGAGAGGGGTTCACCAGCTTGTGTTTTTCAAAGTGGGGGATTAATAGTGAGGCTCACAGTAAGAGACCAGACACTGCAGACAGGACTTGAAAGCGTTTAGTTTTATCCCAGTGCAGAAATCACAGCTCACATGTCCAGGTCCAGCATAGCAGAGATCAGCTTAGCACGTCAGAGTCCAGTCTTCTTTGTTTCTTTAACCAAATTTGTTATCACAGTGTTTCTTACCAGAGCAGGCCTGATTGTTAAGGTCTGTCTGCACTGAGGACAGCTGTGGGTTTCCTTCTGATCCTCTTCTAGCTTTTAACCCTCTCAAGGCAGACGTTGCCGATTTGCAACAGTTAAAAACTAACAACCTGATTACCCCACATACGTATTTTATGAGGTTTTTTTTTACTCAGAAGTACCACTGCAGGACCTGGTTGTGCATTAGCAACAAAAAACTTAATTTGAGCCTGAGAGGGTTAATACTAGAGGTGGCACGATACCACTTTTTTATGTCCGATACCGATACCGATATCATAAATTTGGATATCTGCCGATACCGATATGAATCTGATATAGTGTGTTTTTTAATCAATAAAACTGCTTTTTTAAATATCTTGCTGCTTTTTGTATAAGTTCATACTCAAGTTAAAAACAAACAAACACTAAAGCTATTCTGTTATACCTGCATGTAAAAAATACACTGCACCCCAAATATTTCATAGTTCAGCAATACTGATCAATCTAATAAACTTAAACCTAC